GAGAGAGGGAGAGAGAGAGAGAGAGAGAGAGAGAGAGAGAGAGAGAGAGAGAGAGAGAGAAACAGAGACAGACAGAGAGAGAGAGAGAGAGAGAGAGAGAGAGAGAGAGAGAGAGAGAGAGAGACCAAAAACAAAACAAAACAAAACCCAGGCTGCTGCACCTTTAATGTTTAAGCCATTTTTTTAAAAAATAAGTTTTTAGTTTATGATATACATAATGATTATATATACATAAAAATGATTACATCATTTTCCTCCTTCCCTTTTCTTCCTGCAGTCCCTCCCATGTAACCTTGACCCTTGGCCCTTTATCTCATTCAAACTCATGGTCTTAAAACTACTGGTCCATAGTTTGGTTCACATGGTCAAATAAGTCATGTGACCAAACCTGACAAGACTTGACCTTCTGAGGACCACAAGTCACAAGTTGATGGGCAGATATATAATCTTACAGAGAAGGAAGAAAATGCTGTAATCTAGTACAGACTTAGAGAATTTCTTCCCATAGCCACTCACTTGCGTTGTGGATGAGCCTAAAAGAAAACTGCTTTTGATTATGTTGACAAAAGTTAGAAGGACCAAAAGCAGAGTGAGATAGATGGAACCAAGTCTCTAGATTGAGAGCTCTTTGTGGGCGACCACTGAGTATAGCTCTTGGTTTAGACCTCATTTAAGGAAACTAAGCACAAGGACTAAGCTGACTTGATGACTTCTAAAATGGAGAAATTGAGTGAGTCCTTCAGATGCAGCGAAAGTCTTTGCTGTACAGAAAGAAAATTCGAACAGGATGAGAAGATGAAGTTCTGAGCTGGCTGAACCACGACTTGCTTTGCCCACTCTCCGTGGAAGGGAGTTGCCAGTGGCCCACTTAACTTGGTAGGTTTTGTTTACCCAGTAACAAGCATACTCAGTCTGCCCCCACTGCAGGGGCTGAGGCTGCTTGCACCCGGTGCAGCTTTTGGTAGAGCAGCAAAAGCCGTGTGCAGCGAGGATTCAAATCCTCGGAGAAGGGTGCCTTTGCCCCTGTCTCGAGTTCCTGCTCACGTGTCTTGCCCAGGACAAAGAGCTCCATGTACCACGTGAAGGGCAAAGCAGGAGCTCGTGCCTGGCCCTGAGTTTCTCTGCCAGGAATAATTATAGCGTTATGTAATTCCCTTCCTTCATAATCTAAGGAATTTGAATTATCTGCAGACTGAAAGCAGGTCTGGATATAAATAAGGTGCCTAGTTGTTCACAGATCTGGTGAGGCAGCAATGCAAGGATCAGACAAGTCCACTCCAAACGTTACCTACTGCACACAGCCACATTATTGCTGACACTAAGCAGCGGCCCCTTAAATCAACACTGCCAGGGCCGCTACAGCTGAAACCAGACACCAGGACTTGCTGCCCTCTAGTGGGCAAACTGAAAGTCTCCTTTCCTGTGCTTATTGATAAAGCTTACTACTAATTACTAAACAGAACTTGAGTGTTTTCTACAGTTATCGTTTCCATCATAAATTAGTGTTCTGCATATATGTAAGAAACTAGAATTTGTGAACTCCGAAGACAGTGACATCCATCAGCTCCTAAAAGTTTGAGTACCTACCCCTTAAACAAACAATGATCTTGCTACATCAGGAAAAGCTCGTTCCTACGTGTTCTTTGTATTCCTCCAACTGCTGGCTTCCTTTTTCTTTTTATCATTTAATCTTGGATTTAATACCATAGAATCAATCCCATTTAAGGAGAAAAGCTCTCAAATGACTATCGTGTAAATTTGTTTAACACAGCCAGAACTCTTGCTAATTGTACAAAAGGATGATCTAACTAGGTGTTGCACACAGATGATCTGGGTAGCAAACTGAGAAGACAGTTTTGGGATGTGACACAGACTTCTGGAATATGCTTTACCCCACCATGGACTTTTCATGAGAACTAATGCAACTAATTATTTTCTGTTATCTATGATCAGGTTTTCTGTTTCTTGTAGTCATAAACACCCAAATTAACACTGTGTAATCACTATTACAGAGGTTAAGCATAAAGGAAGAAGCCACCCAAGGTTGTTTAAATGAGAATGGCCCCCATAAGCTCATGTGTTCAAATGCATGGGTCCCAGTTGATGGAACTGTCTGGGAAGGATTAGGAGGTGTGGCCTTGCTGGAGTAGGGTGTCACTTGGGGTGGGCTCTGAGGCTTAAAAAGCCCATGCCTCTCTGGGTTAGCTTTCTTTCTACCCCATGCTTGTGAATCAAGACATAGGCTCTTTGCTACTGTTCCAGCTCCAAGCCTGCCTGCCTGCTGCCATGCTCCTCACCGTGGTGTTCATAGACTCTCCTATTTTCTGGAACTGAGCCACAGATTAAATGGTGCCTTGTCGCAGCAAATGAAAAGTAACTAAGACAGCACCTATAATGGACACTTAAGATGTAGAGAACTCCTAACGTAAATGAATTCCATTTCCATGAGTTCATGACTCCCTAAAGACTGCCCCTGAAATCATCCTTTTCCAGCATGACCTCCCTCCCTTGTTTGGTTATTCATATCAGAATACAAGCATACTGTTTTCGGTCTCAAAAACCACTCAGCACTATAAAAGCCCTGTACCTCAGATGCCATCCTCTGCCCTCCAGCTTGTAAGTGCTGAGATGCCCTAGTGCTTGAACCTATGTTCACTAGCGGTTAGTTACTCTGGAATTGTGTCCAAGCCTGAGGTCTTGTATGGAGCTCCCATGCTGCACACCCACCTAACTCCGAACAGGTTCTGCAGCCCCGACTTCTTTCAGAGCTGATGCAGTACTTACCCAACACACTTGATATCTAACAGGAAGCTTATTCAAACCATCCAAAGAGAAACTAACTCCCTACCCCCTGCAAACCTATTTCTCTCCCATCTTTCCCATTTCAGGAAATGATAAAACCAGTGGCTCAACCCCAAACCCTGGTGTAATCATTAACTTCTCTTTCCTTTACCCATGCACCCTTCAATCTAAGGGAAGCTGGCCAGCATGTTGGTTAAACTAGATCCCAGTTGCAAATGTCACCTCCCCTGACCCCACTTCAAGCAACTTTGGCTTTGAAAGCTATTTTCAAGCCACCCTGTCTTCGTCACTCATCTCCTCACTCCCTGCCCCAGCTACGATCTTCACAATGACCACACACAGTCTCAACAGCACAGCAGGGTCACAAGGCCCAAGGACACAATTACCATACATGCTGATTTTTACCCTAAGACTTGATTTTAAATTTAAGCTCCCCCTCTTTTTTCCCCTACTATTTGGCAACAATCATCCCAGGCACCCGGAGATGCCCCACTGCTGTGTGTTTCCCTGGAGAATGAGCAAATGTCTATTCACTGCAGAGAGGACACCATGATAGACCAAAGGGACAATTTCACCTTGTGCTGGCTAGCTTTGTCAAATTGACAGAACCTGGAGACATGTGAGAAGAACACCCCCACTCCCCGCTGAGAAAACACCTCCATAAGATCAGGCCAAAGACAGACATGCCTGCATGGCATTTCCTTAATAAGTGATTGATGTGGGAGGGCCCGGCCTGTTGTGGATGGGAACATCCCTGGGATGGTGGTCCTTGGTTCTATAAGAAAGCAGGCTGAGTGAGCCATAGGGAGCAAGCCAGTAAGCAGCTCCCCTTCATGGCTTCTGCACCAGCTCCTGCCTCAGGTCCACCTGGTTTGAACTCCTGCCTTGCCTTCTTTCAGTGAACCATGATTCAGGATTTGTGAGCCACATCCTAAGCTACTTTTGGTCATGGTGTTTCCTCGTAGCAATATTAACCCTAAGACACACTTAAATATAGTTTGCTGAAGCAAAGAATTTAAGTGGGGTGACAGTGTGGGTGAGGGGTTACTCACAGAAATATGGCCAGCTTGGTGGCAGCTTCACAACTGATAAAGAATGCCCATCGAACGATGTGTCATTAAGGAGGGAAGAGCCCCCTTTTCC